ATTTAATAGGTTGGCTTTTTCCTAGGCGTCAGTTATCAGTTGCCCCATCTGGTTCAGCAGGGGTCCAATGTTGCCCTTGCTTTTCCTCCGGCTCCCCACATATCTGAAAAAGGACTTTTTATTATCCTTGATGCTCAAAGCTAGTTGGAGTTCAGTTGCAGAGTGGTCAAGAGTACAAAATGGCTGAACATGAAATAGGAACTATTGCAGCTAGCATTCTCCCTTTACAGTGTTTTCACAAATGTTAAATTTCACTAGCTTCAGGGCAATGACTTCTAATTTCCGCTATGGTACATGTGAAAAGAAGCAGGTCCTATAGCTGACATTCAAACTTGCATAATTAGAAGGAAAAGTAAACATCGTTTTGTTAAGGGATATGCCAGAAGTAGGAATGTGGGCCATATTTGTTTTATGATAAGAAAAAGTCAATTTAACAAGAGAAACCTTTCATTTGAAACACACTAAGACAGGGGTAGACAATATTTTTGGCTGGAGTGCCAAAAAAACCACAGTGTCTACCTTGTAAGGTGCTGGAGTGCCGGCATGCCGGAGCCCAGAGGAGCCGTTTGCAGCCTCCCGTCTGCAGCTGGCCCACGGAGCCCCATCTGTTTGCAGCAGGGCTTGCAGCCTCCAGGCCGCCTGCTGAGAGCAGCCTGTGCTTCTTGGCTGTCAGCAGCTGCTTAGAGCCCAGGCTGGCAGTGGTGTGCTGAGCAAAATGGCCTTGCGTGCCATGCTCAGCATGCATGCTGAGGGTTGCTGACACCTGCACTAAGATAAATATGATCACAATTAAATTTGTTTATACCACTTTCAGGGCTGATTTATTACTTGGGTTTCTAGAATGGTATGGTTTCCTCTTATGTTCTAAACCTTGCATATCAGGAAAACCGGTGCAAACCAAGGATGAAAAACAGTGTTTCACATTGTTTATAATTATTTTTCTGATAGTTGCACATTTGGACCCCAGTCAGGAGATCAAGGCCCTATTTTTTATGTGCTGTACACATATACAATAAAAAGATAGTCCCTTTGTAAGGAGGTAGACTTGTCCCTTAATGGGCCAGGAGACATATATAGGTACAGCTGGCCCTGTACATTATCAGACTCATCTGGGAAGCTTTCAGGTATTCCCTATAAATGCCTTAAGGATTAGTAGAAGACTACTGTGATGGGAAAATAGGCTCTGGCAAAAGAGGGATGGATGAGAAGGAGCCTCTAGCAGTAGTAGGGCCAGGTGGGGGCAGCTGTCATCCTGCTTGATGTGTTGTCCAAACATTAGGCTAAAAAATAAAGATGTGCCCTGAAATAAGCTTGGATAAGGCAGGGAGTCCCTGCTGGGCTGAAGAAACAGATAGATTTGAAGAGAAGGTAAAGATGTCTTTGGGACAGGCATGAAGAAGCTGATTTTGCCACTTTTAGATCCCCCAAACTGATTCTGTTTGTATATCTTTTTTAGTCTTTAGTTTTAGTCTCTGGAGTTGTGGCAGTAGAATCACATCACATGATTCTAACTATAGCCACATATTATCTTCTTATGGAAAGAGTACCTACAAGAAGACAAATCTGTTGAGGTCCACAATGCTTCTGGATGTCTGGATATCTTGGGAGTTGGGCAAGAACAGCTGTATTCCTTTGTACTACTCCAGCTAGATGTTTCTTTTGCTTCGGTGATTCAATTCCTCAGTCAGCCACAGCAGCAACAATGAAGCTGTAATGTATTCCCAAGTGGAAGATTTCACAAATGCTATACAAGTAAGGTACTTTTTTCTACTCACCTTCTTTCACAATGTCTTTTACAGAATATATGAATTAGATTCTTCTCTCATATTGGTATAAGTCTGCAGTAAGTGGCCTTACCCTCAATTTACACTGCTGTAGCTGAAACTATAATTTACCCATGCATACAAAGACCCACCAACCTTCAATAAGTGTGTAATTAAGTTTACAAAGTCAAACAATTGATTGCCTTATGTATCCATGACCATAATGAATGAATAAATGCAGTGTTCCGTGAAAAAAATCCAATGCAAGTATATACTTCAAGACTGTCTGATGACTGATGGATATGCACAAAGGAGCAAATTTGGGGAGTGTAGCCTACCATGTATGTGGCATTTCCTAACTGTGATTGATTTTTGCAGTTTCCAATATTGTGTTCATGTTGTGTTAAATGGAATTTTCTAGAGTATTTTTGTACAATGATAGCATGTTCTATTATTTACTAAATTAACATCCTTGTTTACATATAAAATACACCCCCTGCAACTGCATCAAGCTAACTGCTGATAGATCAGCTTTAATTACCACCTTTTACTATTCCAGTCCAAGTCTGTATACAGACTCCTAAAGTGTGGAATAAAATTTGTCCTCCTTTGCTTTTGCTGCAGTCTAGAACCTTTTGACTCCGTAGTGTCTTCACTAAGATTTTTACTGAATGCTAAAAGGTGGGAATTAAAAATGATTTTATGGTTTATCTAAAGCTGAAATTTTTCCTGAATATTTCAGAATAATGACTATTCTGGAAGAACAATTCTTGAGTAACTCCCTGTGTGGTCACTTTTGTACTGGCATCAGAGCCACTTGCACATAAAACTATTAAAGAGTATCTATTACATTTGAGAGAACCTGGATTTAATTTGAATTAACAAATCCTTTGTTTGCAAATTTTATGTAGAACTGAGCTGGTGATGGTTTAGTGAAAATGCACAGGAGACCTTGGTTTCAGATGTAAAGCAATGAGATCTTCCAAGATTTCCAGAAATTTGGAGTAAGGTATCAGCAGTACATTGGTGACACCCAGCTCTTCTTTCTCATCTGACCTTGACCCTACAGTCTCTGTACTTTCCCAGTGCCTGGATGAAGTTGGGTATTGGATGTGGGTGAACCAATTGAACCTGAATCTAGACAAAACAGAAGTGATGGTGATAGGCAGTCTATATGACCTGGGGGGAGGGAGGGGTTGGGACACCCCTAATAGAACATCTGAAATGTTAACGTGGTATTTCACAAAGCAAAGAAAAGTTGCCAAGTTTATGCAGCTTTTTAATGTAGTTGCTGTATTAATGTAGCTTTAAATGTGACTACAGTGCTTTATGAACAGCAAGGCCATATCCTATTCTATTTTTTAGGAATTTAAGTTGTACTTAATGCAGCACCTAAAGTGGCACTTGTAGGGCATCTAAGGGTGCCTATATCCATTCTCTGATGCATTCTAATTAGAACGTCAGAGCAGGCTTGATTAATTGATTAATCTAATTAGAATGCTCCAGCATGCTCCGGCATCACATTTATTCAGCACCCCATGTTTCAAAATGGCAGAGGGGGTGCTTTAATTAAATGGTGTTGAAAAAATTTTAGTTTAAAGTGCCCCCAGTGCCATTTTGAAATACAGGGTGCTGAATACACATTGCGCTGCAGTATTTTAATTAAAGCAGTTGTCTGGGAGCTGCTGTAATCAAAATGCCCTCCCCTCGCCCCCGCAGCACATGCATAAGCACCCTAAGTGCAATCGTACTGCACTATGTGTGAGTCTTTAAAACCATTAATTCATCTACTTTTATGTAGCTTTAGTGAGAAAATGTAAAAATTATAGCTCTTGCCAGGGATCCTCGTT